CATTTATATCTTTCCAGCGCAACATTTCGCATCTGTTTCTACCACAACTATATTATCTATATTATCTTTACAAATGACTTACTGCTTTTCTATATTAATGTGACAAGAGCTCAGTCAATTCATATGTCTTCAACGTCATCGACCTCTGCTTTGTGGTCGAAACAGCAGTGAACCTTATCAAATAAACTGCGATTTAGTTTCGTTCCTCCTTCAGTAGTGTGGAAATGGGTGTTGTTGAAAAGGGAGAAGGGTAATGGATAGTCGCACTTTTCACTCCTTCTGACCAAGGCTGTCAAGAACCAGATCCATTATAATGAAAAAAATGAAGTTTTTATAGTAAAGTCGTAACATCAACTCAGTTGTGTCATATCGAGTTACAATTGATGAAAGACAGTGATTATTTTTGTAATTACTTACTTGAATCTTAACTTTTTGAAACCACAGCATGATTCAATTTCAGGCAACCTTTATTTATCTCTCCTCTTGGCTAATGTGAATCACGTTTTTTAGCTTAAGAGTAGAGATATTCTCCCACTCAAGTAACTACACTCGGCAGCCTCAAAGAGCTTTCTGATATAATTGAGAAGTCAAAGGACTATGTCGATTCGCTTTTTACTTGGAAAAACTACATCCTGAGCAAGCATTACAAATCCTTCTAATTTTGTTATCTAAAAAATTTTCTATTGTGCAGCAACTAGCATAAAAACTCCACTTCGTAAACGCCTACAAAATTTCATGCTATCATTTTCGTTATAATTGATTATTGATTGATATTGACCGAAACAATGTATTGGTTTCTTTTAATTAGTCATGTGTATGTTTTGCTTACACATTCTTGTTCGCAACTGGTGCTGGCTATTTGCCATACAGCACGACGATCCCTGTTTTAAGTCCATTACGTGTTTCAATTGGTCTGGATTACACGTATAACGTCGCCTGCACTAAAATTGCCCTTAGCTCAAATCTTCAGCTTAGCCAAGTTAAATCCTTCTAGAGCGCTGCAGTAGTCTGTTTGCTGAAATGCTTGATTATCCTCATTGACTTTACGTTCTAACCTCGCTATATAACGTTATATTGAGTACCAGCACTTGAAGCTTTTATTATTGCTAGGACATGCCTAAATTTTCCTCCGCACCTTGGACAGACTCTTATCCTTTGGGAAGATTAAACTA